GTAGCAAAGTTGGGGATTCTCACCAACTCCTTTGCAGACAGCAGGGAAACTATTACTTGGACATAGCACCCATTGAGGCAATTGGTCATCAACACCATCACTGCAATTATCTTGTTCAGCCCAACTTAGCCTAAACAAATCATACCCTAATTCTGTCAAAGTAGAACTTACCGAAATTAGGATAACAGAAGAAAAGCCAACTAAGCAGAGAGGTTGTATATGTGGGTGATATGGCCAACAGGGATGGTGAGTCAGTAGACACAAGTCAGTAGAGCCAAGGTTGAGGGTCACCTCTAACTCTGACACAGAGGCTAATACAAGTGTATTCAGAGCCTTACATGTTCCATGTACAAGACAGCAAAGCTGTGTCCTGCAAAGGAGTGGATTCTCCGAATGAAATTGCTATGCCCTGCAAAGGACATCCAGTATATGTCTTGTCCTGTGACTTCAAGGGACTTCCATGTATAATAACTAACAAGCCCAATAGTATCTAAGGCAAAGGCACTGTCATTGAGAAAGGTAGGGTGCTATGATGCTAGAATATTTTCTTAATTCAATAATTTCTGAAAAAGGAAATATTACTTCTCTATCACTACTCTTGCAAGAGATGGCTACTATTCTCAGTATAGAATCTAGGAGGACAAACTCTACCATGTCAACTGGTTTAAGAAAGGAAGCTGAAGGCTTTGAGTAGGGCTTTCCCACCACAAAGAGATGACACCTGCAGAATTCACGAATAAGTCTGGTTAATTGAGTCAATAGGATATGCTGATGAGGGAACCAAGAAGCTTCCCATCTCCTCCCAGCAGTGCTGTTATGGGTCAGGGGTCATCTAGAAGGCGTCCTTGTTGGTATTGATGGGATCTGGTCTAAGAGCAGAGCATAGAAACTGCTGATCTGGACCACAGCGCTAGGGAAATATTCCCCATAACTAGAAAACATTAGACCCAACAGTGGAGATCTGTAAAAAACACCTAGGAAGGGATAGTTCTCCCTCCCTTTTTGTCTTTCAGCAGGATGAAATGAACATATCAAGACCTCTTGATCATATGCCATCTCAAACAGGGAAGACTGAGCATCTCAGACAGGAAAGAGTATGAGAACAATGGTCTAGAACAGGAATAATTTCCTATGTGCTGGAGAAAGGGAAGGAAACAGTTAATTCAGAGAAAAAGTTTATTAGAAGAAAGGTATTTTTTCCTAACCTTTTTTTAAGAAAATTAAATAAAATTTACTGATCTCCCATCAAGAAGGCCAATCATCCCCCTGAGAATGTTAAAAATCTACTAAAAGGTAAGAGACAACGTTTACAATGCAGTCCTGTGGACCGGCTTGGGGTGCAGGTTCAAGGGAGACCAGAAAAAGAGCATGTAAGTTAAGAATCATATCAGAAGCTCTTTACCCAGACTTGAGGATGTTGTCCTAGGAACAGATCCTCTGTTATGGCATATAAAGCCCCTATGTCCTCTGGAGGAGCCAGGGAATGTTTTCTCCAGGAAGATGTGCAAGTAAGGGACTGTTTCTGTGTTGTTGTGGGTAGAGAAATACATTTTCCTGTCTTGGTGATATATAATAAATGCTGAGGTGTGGACCATAAGCATGTCTCACCATCTTCAAGGATACGGTTTGTGTTTCTTTGGTGAGCAGAGGACTGGTAGAGGCCATATTCCCACTTATATTGTAGAGTGGGTGGTGGGGCTATAAGATGTAAGGATGAGACCAGAAAGTGCTCTCCCTCAGTTTCTCTTCATCTTTCTCCTTTGGTCACCCCACTAATGACCCCAACCTCACACTTAGCCTTTCTAGTCACAGGCATAGAATAAGTAAGTAAGTAAGTAATGAGTGGTGTGCACAGTTCCTGATGCCATACTATATAAAGTAAAGGAAACAAAGCGTGGGGCTGTATCCTAGTAAGTGAGGAGTGGGACCTGACTTGCATAAGATACTAATCATCTCCTCCCATCCTCAAGTAAAGCAGCTACCAAAGCTGAGTCATATAACCTAATGGTATTACCAAGACTGTAGGATTCCTTGTCTTGTTCAAAAGTCAAATACCCACTGGAATACATGTCTTCCTGATATTTAGAGATGCTTGGTGACTTCAGCTCATACATGGGAGTGCCTCTTCTCCACATTGTCTAATTCCTCTTCTTAGTGTAATCACTCAGTACTTAAGACTACAGGTCCTAAGGAAAAAATGAGTCATATGGGCTCAAGGTTAATAAGATACAGTCCATGAAAATAGAGCGTGGCAGAGCTCTTGGTATCAGGAATATATGGCTGGGACTCCTCACATCTGGGCACACTAGGAGGTAAAGAATGACCTTCTATTTTCCTTTTTATTCAGTCTCTGACCCCAGTCCATGAGATGGTTCCACCCAGTCAAAATCAGCCCTCTCTCCTTAGTTAAACCTCTCTAGAAATATCTGAAATGCACACAGAGGTGTGTCTTCAAGGTGGTCCAAAGTCATCAAAGTTGACTATGAAGACAATCCATCATGATCTCCCAGTTCATTTCTCCATTGGAAGATGAATTTTAGACTGCTCAAAATCCCAGATAGTTTAAATGACCAGTATCATATATGTAAATCTCTTTGCTCAATAACTAACAAGAAAAAAATAGATCTTATTTTGGATCATATACCAAAATAAAGCTGAGATAAATGACAGGTTTTATGCTTTTTAAAAATAGAAAAAAATAACTCCTGCAAAATGTACTTATTCTACAAGTAAGCAGAGTCTATTTATGGGTAGAATGCAAAAACAAAAGTTATCAAAAAAAACAAGGTGATGTAATGCAAATGAACTGAATAAATGAAGCACATGTATATGACAAAAAGCAAGTGATGAACAGAGAGAAAGCCCTGACAAAAAACATAACACCTAAAGGGATATTATCCAAATAACATTATTTTAAACTCCAAAAAATAACTAAGAAAATGAAAGATGACTCAACAAAAACAATAGGCAATAAATACAGTTAATTCACCAAAGAAAAAAGACTGATGAGCATAGTTGTAAACAAAGGCTTGGGTTTACTAGGAGTAAGGAAAATTCAAATTAAAAATCAATCAAATTCTATATTTTCATACTGCATTGGATTGTCAAAATTAGAGTTTAGTAATCTGCAAGTATGGTAAAGTTGTAATGAACATGATCTACACACAGTTGTGAGAAGTACAATACTGTACAACCATTTCATTACTGGATAGCCCTCAGGAAACTTTTGAGATATTTCCACACATAGAGATAGCCACAGGCACATCACAGAAGCATGCTGTGGGTCAGGAGAAATGTTAATCAACAACAAGATTAAAAATGTTATTTCATGACTCCATAGTATAATAGTATGTAGTCATAAAAATGATAATACCAAGTGTGGATGGTAACATCCCATGTGTTGGGGTCCAGGATTGAATAAAAAAGAAATAAACCTTCTGTAGGAAGAAGAAGATTTCTTAATGAAGTGTGCAGAATGCACTTATTTTTGAATGTAAGAACAAATGTTTAAAATTTAGTTAGAGATTATGCTGGTTTAGTAAGTTGGCAGTGTGAGTATTCCTCCAAGATCCATGGTTTCACTAATCCTAGGTATTTGGCTATGTTTCCAGTACTATGGATGACTGTCCTCTTGTTGAGTAGATTTTAAGTCTAATTAGAAAGCTGTTGGTTACCACCAAGGTATGCATGCCACTACTACATCCTTTTAGAAAACCATAACCAATCAAAATGCAGAACTGTGTCACCCAATTCCAAAAGATACATCCATAATACAATTCCTGCACCTAAGGTTCAGAGAAAATTGCAGACGAGTAGATGGAAAGATTGTAAGAACAAGATGATCAGGGAGTTTGCTATATCTCCTGGGGATGTCAGAATTTACACCCATAAAGTCTCACCAACATGACTGTATAAACATGAGCTGAACAAATAAAACAACAGTAAACATGCTAACATGGATAGGGGAAAACCCAAGGGGCCTCAACCCTACACAAAGAACTACAGGCAACTAATGAATGCTGAGATTGGGAGAGAGTTCTCTCTGGGAAAGAGCACACCAATTGGTCATCCAATACCAAATGGTCAGCCCTAAAAACAAACATATAAGAAACATTATACAGACGGAGCCAGGTACTTCCTGTATATTTAGGGATATCTATATACACATGTATTTGTATATAATAGGAATGTTTATGGTCCCATTATTCATACATATTCAATATATAATTTGAAAAAGAGTAAGAATAGATATGTATGGGTGGGTTTAGAGGAAATAAAGGGAAGGGGAAATGATGAGATTATATTGTCTCAAAATATAAAAGAAATAAGTTCTAAAGGGAGAAACCAGAGCAAATCGAGCACCGGCATTCATTTGTCTCTGCTTCCTGACTGAGGATGCAATGTGAACAACTGCCTCTTGTTTCTGCTGTCACACCTAAAGATGCTCTTGACTTGATGCCTTCGCTACTGGGGTGGACTATACCTCCAACTAAGAACCAGAACAGAGCCCTTGCTCACTAAGTTGCTCTTGAATTTTGTCACAATAAAGAGAAAGGTAATTAACAGAAACAGCACAAATACTTCATAGTTAGATATATAAGCAGAGAGGTATATTCTTGTGCTCTTACCTTCTGCAGGCATATATATGAACATACATCTACAGCTTTAAAATCTTCTTTTAAAAGGTGTATAGAAAACTATAAGTGCTTCAGAGAGTTTGGGAAGGTGGGTAGCCAAAATGGAGTTTACCTTTCATTGTCACATTTTGATTTTTATAAGAATTCATGCATCAATTCCTCTTATAATTAAAATCAATTCTAATTGAACAAACAAAATGCAATAAAACCTATGTCTCACCATATTCAAATTCTGACCTAAGGGATTTATAATTGTTCATGTTAACAGATATGCTATCAAATGCCATACAGGCCCCGTTCTATGTTGTGTCCATTTATGTTTTCTATATTAATGTGTTTCTTTGTCTTCCTTTTTATTTTCAGGATAGCATCATGGGGCAGAAAGGCTGTTCTCATGCATCCTCAAGGTTGAGGATGCTAAAACAAAAAGAAGATGAAGTTGTGTTCTAAGGTCACCACCCCCACGCAGCTGTAGAAGTGGAGCTTGATCACAGGTGGTCAGTCTATTTAGAGGTACACACTCTACGCATCCTTCTGGGGAGGCCATTTCAGCTGTAATCCTGTCTCTCTTTGAAAAAGACCATCAGCTTTCTCTCACCTTGGTACCCCACACTAGGAGGACAGCTTGCAGAGGGAACCGCACAGGATAATGGCAAGAAGAACCTCACAGAGTTTTCCATTCCCTGGACTCAGGAACTAGAGGAACAAGCAAAGCAGACTCTTGCAACCAGACTGTCTATGGAGATCAACTACAGACATGGAGATGAAGGCAACTCAAAAGACCTGAGCCAAGCATCTACAGAAGCACAGAAAGGCTGGGAATGGGAGGCCTCTCAGTAGCTTCTGCTTTCTCCAAGCATCAAACTCATCTGCAGATTTTGCTGAATGAAAAGCATACCATGCTTAGTGCTTGCAAACAGGACACAATTTATCCAAAGAATTTAAAACAGTGGCGGGGAAGCCTTTTGTATAGAAAACATGGCTCTTATGAACTCTAATACTCAGTGACTAAGGAGAGACAAAATGAGGTGCCTAGCTCAGGGTAGGAGCAGTAAGTAAAATACAAATTCAGCCCCGTCTGAAGTCCCAGGCCACCGTCCATCAGTCCTTTCTCTGCACTGTTGCCTACCTGCAAGACTGAGATGATCCCAAATGAAGTTTACAATGAATTTCTCCTCCTGAAGGCAAACCCTTATAGCAAGGAGCAGAAGTTGGAAGCACATTTGTGATTCATGAGTTAGCACAATGTGCAAGGCAGCCCTAAGTATTCCCACTACACTCAACACTTCTGCTACCGGGGAACTCCCAGGTTGATTGCACAAGGTTGAGGCCACTGGTTTAAGAAGCATCATAAAAGTGTGCCCAGTGCAAAATCAGAGAATAGGGCTATCCCCAGCAACCCATAGAGATGTCTCTGGAGTCAGGGCTCTAAGAACTCCTGTATCAGAGAGCTGATGAGTGGCACTTCCTGAATGACTGAACGTCTCAGCTCCTTTAATCCTCATTACACCATATAAAACAGCTCTCTCTGTCAGCCCCATCTCTCAGATGAAGACACTAAGGCTCAGAGCAGTCTAAGATTCTGCCATTAATTTGTAGGAGTTGGAAGAGGGGAAACTTGATGGAATCTATTTTCCTCTGCTGCCTCTAAGCTACCCAGGGTATTATTAAAGCAGACATTCTAAGGAAGGGTTGGGGGATAGGCATTGTGCTAAGCTCCTTGGGTGATTCTCATATACACAGAGTAGGGGCTTTGTAATATAGTATACATTGGAGAAGCAAGAGATTTCTTTAACAAGAATACTGCTCCCTCACTCATCTCATTAAGTAGACTCTGCATTTCTTGGAGGAGCAGAAGTTTCCTACTTGATACCCTCCCCCACCCACTATCCCCAGGATTATTCCCAGCATGAAAAGCAGCCACTATGAGCCCAGTAGGAAGGCTATGGATCCAAAGTATGGAAGCCATTGTGCCTGGTTATCATCATAGTAGCTCAGGTGGGTCTCTGCAGCAGATTTGGTCACCCTTGGCATTCTTATCTGTTTGATGGAGATAATGTCAAAGGAGGAATTTTTAAATAATAATGTCATTTAAATAAATTATATTTCCTGAGGTTATTCTGTGATGAGCATTCTGCTGTGCCTGGACCTCTGGCACACACTGACTTGGTTCCTCAAGGCATCTTCTAGGTAGATACTTTCACTGTCTTGTCACAGATAAACAGCTTTTCAGCAAGACAGGCTGCTTGGGTGAGCAATGATAAGGAAAAGTCTTATAGCCTAGGCACCTCAGATTCCATGTCACTTCTTCTTTCCCACACACCTGGCCAATGTGATCATCTTTTTCTCTATCCTATGGATATAATGAGTCAAATGAAATCACAGATCTACCAGTAGGTACAGGCTGGGCTAGGTTGTGATTAAAACACAGCTCTAAAGATCAGTGCCTAAAAACAGTAATCCTTTATTCCTTACTCTCTCCACATTTCCCTTAGGAGTCAGCTGCATGGTTCTGTATAGAATGATCACCTAGGGGCCTGAAAGGAGCATCCACCACCCTGAATGACTCATGGGAAGCAGAGCCAAACCATGCAGGCCCAGCGCTAGCTTCTGCTTGGTTACAAGCAATGTATGTCACATCAACTAATATTCCAGGGACCAAGGCAAGTCTGGGCCAAGCTTCCAGTCCACGAGTGGGAAAGCATTCCAGAGCAGAGAGAAAACACTAGTTGTGAACAAATAACTAATCTGCATAGGATACATGGATTCAAAGAATGCTTTGGACAGTGCTCAACAGAAACAGCATGAAGAATGCTTCTCCCTGTGGAGGCATGGTGGCAGCTCGTGCTCCAAGCTGAGCCTCCACATGCTGCAAATCCACCAGCATCTCCTCTGCTATCAGGAATCTAATTATTACTCTGCTCTCTGCTCAATTATTAAAGACAAGGCAGTGAAGAGCCACGGAAGAGGGGAAGTCTGTTTTGCAGCAGTGACAAACTGTATTTCATATGCATAAAAGACCGTTGCTTTTACTCTTATAATTGCAATTTCCTGCTCGTTTCCTTTTCAAATTAGTGAATGTAATTGTTTGGTAATAAAATATCAGCATAATATATTAGAGGCAGAGAACAGACGGGCTTAAGGGACAGTTGCCAAGAACAAGAGGGAGAGAAAAGATTGAGTAGAATCAGAGTGCACAGACCTTGCAAGTCTTTTTCAAAGTGTGGGTTAGATTAGTTTCTAGAACTCTCCCTGCTGTCCCTTCTAGACTCTTCTGGAACCAATGGGTGATATACACAAATCAATATTCCCACACTATTCTAAAATTCACATCTATACAAGTCAAAGCTGAGAGGGAGGGAGAGAGAAAGGGGGAGAGAGAGAGAGAGAGAGAGAAAGAGAGAGAAGAGAGAGGAGAGAGAGAGAGAGAGGGAATGAACTGACAGGATGTCTGTAGGGCAGAAAAGCTTTGGGATCACACTTAAATTTGTTACCAGATTCACACTAAGTGGTCATATCACCCTGGGAAGATCACTGAACTTTGAGTCTCCAGTCATTCACTACAAAGTAAGAGTAAAAAAATTATTCTTGATATAGTCAGTTTTCTTCCGGGATGTGGTTCCTGGTAGGTTGCCTATACTCTAGCAAATGGCCCTATACCCAGGCACATACCAGCAGAAGCAACTGGACTCAATGAGCTAATAAAAAGAAAATATAAGGTTAGGAGAGGGTGTGGCAGGGTCTAGAAGTTGAGGGGGGCTTATTGGATGGGGTAGATATGATCAAAATGCATTATATACACGCATAAAATTGTGAAAGAATAAATAAAATACATTCTTGAAATATTCTTGTGTCAAGGGGTGCTACTTCATAAATAGTAGCTTTCCATGTTATTAGAATGATGATTTATACCCCACAGAGGAGAACAGTGATGGGCCACTGGTGTCACCCTCCTCAAAATGTCAAAAGTAGAAATGATTTTCTTTGTTGACTCCATATCTAATGTCATTATCCCTTGGCTATCTCCTAGAGTTTTACCCTAACTGCCCCATTTCCTCAAAGCCTAGCCCATATAGGCTCTCAAGCCTATGTGACATAATGTTTTCCACAGCAATGACAAGGAAGATCCTTCCTGGCAAAGTTCTGGAGAAAACCTATGGAGGAGGGAAGGCTGCTGGGAGCACACTGCTGCCTCCCACAATGCACCAAAAAAAGAAGCCATGATCTTTAATGCCTGCCCTAATTGAGTGGATGGACCCCATAGGTGAGCCCCAAATTGGGAACCATGGGAGGTTAGAAATTAAACAGCAGCTTCAGTCTGCAAACTCAGGAACCTTGTAGACTGGTAGGAAGAGGAGAAGAAGCCAAAACTGTGTTCTGATGCTCTCTGGTGTGGACACACTGAAATAGTCACCTAGTAATGCAATTTCAGGGACATGGGTTCCTCTACCCTAAGGGTGAGCCACTCCAGCTGCTCAGGGCCTCCCAACACTTCGTATACTAAGCCATTTTCTTACACAGATCCTGGTGATGCTGATGTTCTGGGGAAAGCATCTTCCATTTGCACTGAAATTATGCCTGCTTCTTCCAAGTGGGAGAAGGACCACCAGGACCTGGTGAAGTGGGTCAGAGTGAGGAGAAGCCTAGCAGAGTTCTGAAAAGGAGCCTGGTTTGACTCTGAAAGTGTTCCTTGGGGAGAGAAGCCTCGCCAGAAATTATCCATGTGAAACAGAACCAGGATCAGAAAAAATGACTTCCAGTGCCAGGTAGAGAAACCACGTAGGCACTTAAACCAGAACTTTCTGGCAATAAAAAATAGAAAATGTGAAAAGTTGGAAGTTCTCGCTCACTCTTTCCCCACCCAAACGTATGTCAGCCCTGATAGCAGCTTCATGGGAGTTTTTAAAGCAAAGATTGTCATTTGCCTTAAGAAAGAGACAGAAAGTATGACATAACCCCCACCCCAAAGAGAAAAATTAAACTAATAACTGAAGAGGTAGAGAAAAATACCCAGAAATCCAAGGTTCTTGAGTGACAGACATATTTTGTCAGGACCAGCCCTTCGGTTTGATAGTGTCTTCTCTAGCATGGCCTGTTTGACCCCATCCTAGTCAAGTTTAAAGCTATAGGGGCATTGCATCAACCTGACCCTTGAAGCTGTCTTTCAGTTTCTCATTCAATAAACCCACAAGTCCTTGAGGAAGACCTACTATGTTCCAGGAAAAATTCTAAGCATAGCATAAAATTTCTGAAAGCACTGAACTGCAGGAGTTTTGGGAGTGGTCAGTCAGAAACCAGGTCAGTATCTTGGGAAGGACAGCATAAGCTCAGCAGTTATGCACTCAGGGAACCCCAGGACCAGGTTTGGGCATAACCAGGAAGTCAGTACTTGGTGAGACAATGAATTTCAGAAGGAGACTCAGCTCCATTCTCTCCTTCCAATAAAGCTTCCTTGTACTATAGCAGCCGAAAGGCATCTTTTATTATGTTTACCTGGAAAATATTCTCATTCTCCACATTCAAATATAGTGATTCACTGTCTCGTGTAGTAAGTCCACATGCTGGCTGTGTATTTCTCATCTCTAGAGCTACCTGAGAAATTTTACCATCTCTCACAACTCCTGGAACCCAATCTTGGATAATACGATGCATGGTATGTGTATTTACATATTGAATACATGTATATATTAAAGGAAGAGTTGATCAATTGGATGTCTGAATGCTTCTGCAAAGTGAATACTGGTGATCCAAGTTTACCTCTTCTCCCATTAGTAAGTCTCTTAGGAGTCTTCTAGCATTGGCCCAAAACACATGTAGGCTAATAGGACAAGGTTCACATACATATGGTGCTTAGTATAAGTGCTGTATTTTATCATCTCAGCTCCCCCCTGGAGGAGCTGCCTGGACCCTGGATGCATTTTCTCAGCCAGTCATTTCCAGCCAGGAGAATCCTTGAAGCTTGGCTCATCATCTCAATGTTTGAATCTTGAATTTCAAGTAGAAAAGCAATAGACTGAAGCTGAATGCTGTGAGCCCACATGCTTGAGACTCCACCCCACTAACCAAAACCATTATCCAAAACCAACCTGAAGCATAGTGATAACTATCTGTCATTGAAATTTGCTGACACTTGACTACTAATATCTCTTTTATTACTTTTTAACCTCTTCCTTATTAGATCTAATCACCCTCTGTGAACTATAAGGTCTTTACAAGTTAGAAGCATGAGCCAGAGGGCACAGTGGGACACATTAGACTTCAGTTTTCAGACCTATCCCTTTAGATAAGCTTTACAAAGGAAAAGAAATAGAGTAGTTTTTGCAATTTTTAGATCTTTCCATTCAGGTAAACATTTGGGGAGAGTGTAAAAGAGCTATATATTCATACCCCTAACAAGGAATTCCCCAATGGAACCACTTGCAGAAATCTGAAATGTATTTCTGCACTTCAAAGACACAGAATATTGCCATGTGGCTCACTCCTGGGAAAATTAAGGGCATTAGGACCCACAGTCAGAACCCTACTCAGAACTCCAGAGACTCAAGGGGACAGTGCTGAGAGCTGTTCTACCAAACCTCAGCTTCCTTTCTAGAATAGAACAGGAATGTGTAAGTATTTCTCAGGGACTAGATGTGGGTCGAGCAGAAAGAAGCAGCCAATGCTTTCCTGCATCCCAGCCAGTGAAGGAACTATCAGCAGAAAGAGGTGAACTATAGTAGGCTCCCCAGCACTGAAGACGTGGGTATACACACAGCTGTCCACTCGCCCTAGACCTGCAAGCGGAACACCTTCTTTGTCCATAAAGGTCTTTCAAGGGTCACTGTGCTCAGTTCCCCAGATAACCCCCAGTTGTCCTATCTGCATCTTAGTTTTACATCCCAGGGGTCTCAGCTTGCTTGAAGATGAAAGACTTGAGGAAGGACACTTTCAGATAAACATGCCTATACTGACTAATAATGGGGGAGAAAATCTTCAAAGACAAGACCACACAGCCAAGTTAAACAGAAGCATGTCAGAATTGTCTGTCAACTGGTCTTCTGAGACAGTATTACCACCAACACCAGCAAAGCAAATTGTTTTTCATTATTCTTGAGGGGTTTTTTTTTTATCATTTCAACACTGAGAGGATCCAAACTGAATTCATAGTTAACAGAATGTACTCTTCCTCCTCTTGACATCAGCTGGCCTCTTAGAATCAGGGGTCTGGAGATATGGCTCAGTGGGTAAGAAAACTTGGTGCTCTGCCACAGAACCCACATTTGGTTCAAGCACCCATGTCAGGAAGTGTGTAACCTATAACTTCAGCTCCACGAGACCTGATGCCCTCTTTTGGACTCAGCAGGTCCCTGTATGCATGTACATACACACACACACACACACACACACACACACACACACACACACACGCACACATGCACACACACACACACACACACACACACACACACGCACACATGCACACACACACACACACACACACACGCACACACACACTGAAGAGGATAGTAAATAATTAACTTAAAGGGATATCCCCTTGTAATCCTTCCTGAGACACAAAATCTTTCTTACCACCCACTCAAGTTTCACAATACACACAGGAAGACGTGATTGACAAGTACAGAGGACTTGTGGAATAAGTCACTACAGTTCAATGTCTTTCATACTTATGTGAGAGAAAAAGAAAATGGAAATGATGCAAAGAAGAAACCAAAGGACGGCTGGATCCAGTCATCCACAGGAGAAGTGAACAAACTGACCGGCTCAGAGGTTGAAGAAGCCTGGGACTCTGCAACTGAATGCACATAAACCTTCAGCAGAAAAACTGTGGAAGGCGATGAAGGGGTGGAGAGAGGCAGGGAAGCAGAGAATGCTGTGGAACTTACCTGTACAGCATTGACTTCGAGTAGTCTCTAAGTAGAACTGACGGCATTGCAAACACAATAAGCAGTTCTAGACAAACTGGAATAGCAATCAGCTCAGGAGCTGAGAAGCATTCACACTTTTGCTGTTGTCAACGCTTTCAGTGGCTTTAATTTTCAATGGTAAGCACAACTTCTATATAGTGTTGTCAAACCGCAATGAAGTTATGTCATTGAATATTAAAGGCCCAACCCGCAGAATGCCAACACACAGATTTGAATTTCATGCTCGCTCCTAAACATCAAGACAAATATGCCTAATTTCATAAAAACCTGGCCAGCCCCAGGGAGGCTGACAATTATATCTATTGTTACCCAAATATGCTGGAATAAAACCTGGCTCTGATCGATGTATAAGATCAAAAAGAAGGAGGGAGGGAAAAGAGAAAAAAAAACATAAGAATCATCAGAGAGGCAGTTCAAACTGTAAGGTCCTTGTCAAATATGTAGATTAATGGGGCATTTGATTCCAGCAGGATGGGGCCTCCATTTAACGAGCAATTTTGAAAAATCATGTGGCTAGGTTATGGGATGGATATTGGGAAACTAGAAGGAGGTAGGACTACCTGGAAGGGATAAAGAAACAGACCTATAGGGGCCTCCTATTACACACCAGGGCATTTGGGCTCCAGCCTGTAGGCAGTAGCAGCCCCAGTAGGATTCTAAGCATGAGTGAGGTCATACTTGTTTCTTAGAAAAATTACTTTGGCTTCAAAGTAAAAATTGGATCAAGGCAGTAAAGCTGGAAATACATAGAACAGTAAAGGATCAAATGTCTCATGAGTCCCTGAACTGGGGCAACTATTAAGAAAACAAAA